TTCGTAGCCCAGACAGAAGCATTAATGAAAGGCAAAACAGCAGGAGAAGCTGAAAAGGAATTGAGAGATTCAGGAATGAGTGATGAAAAAATACATGACATACTACCGCACAAGGTCAGTTTTCAAATTCCAGTTCATACAGTATTGAAAGTTGAAAATTTTTTGCTTTAGTTGAACTTCAAAAAAGTGATTAGTACACAATTTCATCAGTGGAAACAGACATGTTGTCAATTTTTCATTTGGTAATAGCATCCACAATTCGTCATGCATAACCGTCCTTCTATTCATTCTCCTAAGGCACATAACGCAATTATCAAGTCTTTTCTAATTTCAGTGTAATATTTCTTCTAACGTGACATAATTAATACGTAGAAGACTTAGCCTTGTCTTCAATGGAACCTGTTGTTAAGTATACTTCAAATTCCTAATAGACACTCGAGACTCCTACGTAATTCATTACATTGTTTGCAGAAATTATCATTACAATCTTTTGCAGGTATTTGAAGGAAACAAGCCCACAAATTCAATCATACTACCTATAATATCTCCATTTACTCTTGGCACTTTGATTGCCTTGTATGAACACAAGATTTTTGTTCAGGGTATTATTTGGAATATCAACAGCTACGATCAGTGGGGGTTTGTTTTCTGTTTTGTTACTGTTGCATAATTTCATTCCGAAATTCATTTCGTTCTAAAACTTTCGCTTATTTACAAAAAGCACTGCAATTTTATTTCACAAATATTCACAATACTCTTTATTTTTCATACGTCGACTATTTGTTTTGTCCAATAAAGCTGAATGATATTCAAAGTTTTAGATTCATGTTTTGGTTTGGTATGTAATTTTTTGTATTTTTTAGAGTTGAACTCGGTAAGCAACTGGCGAAAGTTATCCAGAAAGAATTTGAAGTAAATGCACCGTGCACTTCTCATGACTGTAGCACAAATGGCATTATTAATTTTATTAAGAAGGAGAAGCAAACTAATAGATGAGCATTATTGTCTAACTCAACTGACATCATTCTCACTAGTGATTTTCTATTCTTTCTATATTGTTAGTGCATTTATCCTGTCAGCTGATTGCTTTTCTGGCGAATATCATTTTTGGAATTTGAAATGTGAGATGAATGGTCTTTTTTTAATCAATTCCATGATTTCTCAGTTTTTTCACAATTTGCTGGAGATTTTTTTATAGAAGTGCGTTCCAAGCACTTTGGCATTAGTGATTTATGTCTCACGAAGTATATTTGATTGATATATTTTTTTGTAAGTATGTATTGAACTTAAAGTAATTTGTAGCGCATTGTAGACTGTTAAAATAAAAGTTAAAAGCGTGTCATAAAATTACTTTTTATTGTATATAATAATTGTAGAATTAATTTTGCGATTAATAAATATATCATTCAAAAGCTATCACAAATTCTTTATGCCTACCAAATGATTTTGTCGAGCTTGTTCATGAGCTATCTAGGAAGTGAAAAATTTATTTATTGAGCAGAATAATCTATACATTCATACATAAAAATGTAAGCTATAACTAGCAAAAAAAGGAATAGTATGTACAGACACATAAAAGTGGTAGAAAAATTTTTGTAAATAGTACTGTTTTAGAAATGCATATATTACAAAAATAGATTCAAGCACTATTCATTTAGGCTATTTCTGCTAGTCGGGAAAAATTTACAGTTTGATAAATATTGGTAAGCGTTAGGTTACATGTTATTGTTTATTAAACAAAAAGTTATTCATAAACGGCATTTGTTGATGCAGTTCTGCATACAGGCACCTCCTATCAGCAATTAAATGAAGAGCATTATAATTCAGCCTGTATATTTCTTAAACGTTACTTAAAAGATTCGTCAATAAAATGAGGATGATTTATATATGTTTAATTAATTAAGCGTTAGAGAGGCTTCAGATCGATAAGGAATGGCAGGTTATGCATTAAAGCGATTAATGGCTGAGTACAAGCGTAAGTTACTTTTGAAATAATGATAGTTCACGTTATGGTACTATTGAAAGGTGGATAGAAACTGTGCTAGATTTTTGTGAAATTTACATTCCTATTAGTTGCTGTTAGTAACTGAAATAGATAAATCGATAGCAATCAATATGTATGATTTTGGAAAGAAATTCTTTTATAGAGTTGACGTTAAATCCGCCAGAAGGAATCATTGCTGGACCGATCAGTGAAGATAATTTTTTCGAGTGGGAATGTTTAATCACGGGACCTGATGAGACATGCTTTGAAAATGGTGTCTTTCCAGCGAAGATTATTTTTCCACAGGTATTTAATACCATTATTCAATTTCGTATACGTCGTATAATATCTTTTGCATTTCTTAAAATAATTTAGAAGTGAATAATTGAGTACCAATAGCCTCGATTAACTGTTATTCAAATGTTAATGAACGATTTTGATGTGTTAATGTTTAATAGTGGCATGTCTGTACATTTACAGTAAGTGAAACATATTTTTGGTATTGAAAAGCTACAGCGAATCATGATTTTAATCTGATCGAATGATTAATAATTGTTAATTCATATTTTCTTTTGAAGTATGATTTTTTTACGTTTTCTTAGCTATCGTATTCCACCAAATTTTTTACTGTACAAACGTGTAAGCTTAATGATAAATTTCGATTCCTATTTATGATAATATCAGATCCATTGCATTTTACGTTTGGTTAATACAAATTTAACTGAATTGAATTTGAATTTAAAAATTGATTCATTCCAGGATTACCCTCTTTCTCCACCAAAAATGCAATTTACTTGCGATATCTTTCATCCAAACATTTACCCAGACGGACGTGTATGTATTAGTATTCTTCACTCACCAGGTGATGATCCAACTGGATATGAATCAAGTGCAGAACGATGGTCTCCGGTGCAATCCATTGAAAAAATTCTACTTTCCGTGGTATCTATGCTTGCTGGTTAGTACTTCTTAAATATGATTTGTGGATTTTTCCTGGAAAAAACCATTTAATCCTACTGACGTAAATAGTAGTCATTTTGTGCCTGCTTATATTAAAATTATCGCTGACTGCAAAAAATTTTTAGAACCAAATGATGAAAGTGCTGCTAATGTAAACGCAGCAAAAATGTGGCGTGAAAATCGTTCACAATTCGAACGTATTGCGGATAATTTGGTACGAAGAACGCTATGCCTTCCACCCACTAGCTCGTTGTAACTTTCTTTCGTACGTATGATAAACGTAATTTAGATGTGGCAGTTTTCTCTATATCACAATTTCTTATATCAAATTTTTATATATTGAAAATCACATATTTCGTTGTTAATATAACGATGCATAAAGTTTCATGCTGCACTCCATATATATTACAATTCACAAAGGGTTATCCCTCTAAAGTCCATGAAGTTACACGCAATTTCATTGTCCATCTTCCGGAGGAAAGATGCTGCATGTCGTTCGTGAAATCCCAAGATAGCATGCAACGTATATGAATTTTGAGAATGAAAGCGTTTTGAACAGAGCATAAACTTGTTAGAATGAATGAAGAAGGTGATGGATCGGAACTTCTTAGAGGATAAATTACTTATAGCGTGCATCATAACTCATTCAGATATTGAACTCGTCATCTCCACACCTCACTTCGGATGACATGGTATTATACTATGCGGTTTGCATGGCTCTTCATTTTATATGATAAAAGTATAGTGAGAAGTTGTTATCAGTTGGATGGTGTGGAAATCGGTTGTTTCTCTCAGTAATGCTAGTGTTGATCATTAAACAGTGATGCTAATTTGGGAGTGTTGTCATATTTTCATTGTTCCGAAACTTTCCTCATTTTAATTTGGATATTATCTGAAAATGGTAGCAGATAATTCTTATTTTACTTTATACTTTATTTTTTACTGAAATGTATCAACAGTTACATTTGAATAAATTAAAGGGAAAAGAGCAGTCATTATTAATTTTGTGCTATCATTTTATATATCATTCTGTAAAGGCGATTGTAGACATTGTTGAAGCAGCGTTTCTCAAGCTCGGTTGTTTCAGGAAACGTTCTAGCTATCCAGTTTATACGTGATGCCTATTGTTGGTGAACGTTCGAAATTCTCATGTTTAAAGATCTACGATGATACGAGTTCGGATGATGATGATGATAGCGCTAAATTGATGAGTGGAGCGGCATCTGGACAGGTATTTGTTAGGATTAAAATGATGAAAATAAATTTATAGTTCTTGAGTTCATAATATGAAATTCTAGAAGTGATTGTAAATTTTAGCAACTATTCAATAATGATGATCTAAGAACCTATCTTTACAAGGTTGAAATTGTTACTTATCCATCACTTAAGCTGTTTACTGCTTTTCATATCTAAATTGCGGTAACCGTTCAAATCGTAGAATTAACTGATTTTGCAAAGGTATAACCTTTGGTAATCTTAACAGCTTTTTTTGGCTACGTGCAGACTATTCTGCATGATCTGTGTGGTTGATTATTCGAAGCTTTCTATTCATTCTTCGATTTAGGATTTGTTTTCAGAATAAGAATCATGGAAATCAAAAAAAGTCGTCAGCTACATACAAAAGTGGTGGTGGTTTTATTGTCCATTCCGTGCCACAGAAACGGAAAAATAAAGGGAAAAAAACCAAAAAAGTCAGTGAAAAGTATAATTTCTGATTAGCATTAATTTCACTTTGTCATATACACTATGTATTAGGTAAAATAGTTATCAAACCTATTCATCTTTGTAACCCTCGATTTAACTTATTTCAAGGTATCTGTTGTTGTGGAAGGTGGTTTTATAGTACAGGATGGTGATGGAGATTCTTTGGACAAGAAATATTGCGAGGTACTTGTCTTCTTTTGTTATTGCAAAAATTTGACATTGCGTTTTTGAAACTTCTCTGCATATTTGTTTTTCCTGTAATTTAGGAATAATTCTTTTTCCCACTGTTTAATTATTTTCTTATGAGGAATACTATAAAAGGTTCAAAAATATTATTGAGCTAATATATATGTGAACATTTTTTCAAATCGAAATAGTAACATCCTTCACCGTCAAAAATTATGAATATTGTTGTTTATCTTCTCTCTTACACATTTTTGCTGGATAATTTCTTCGTTCTCGTCATAAGTGTTTCTTACAGAATTTGCAGCAAGCAATAGAAAACAGTCGCGAAGTGGCTTCCACAGCATCTGCCGATCCAGTGCAAGAAATAACATCATCAAAGGTTTGTTATTTTGGCTAATTCAAAGAAATGACAGCGGATTCTGTTTCAGGAATTAGATTTGTTTTCAATTTCAGATCCAAATGGAAGGGGAACCAATGGAGACGAAAGACGAGCTGGAAATGTTCATGTCGGAAATTGATTCACAAGCTTCTCCTCTGTTCACAAAAAATGATGGGCCTCAAAAGACTGTATGTTTCCGCGACAGGAATTTTACTTTTTTAATAAGTTTAAAATTTTTCAAGCCTTATGAATATACATATTTCTGACGGTTATGAAATTTCTTGATTTAAATCTTTATTATTTATACACACCAACTTTAAAATGAAATATTTAGAAGGAGCAGCATTTAGTTGCACTGTACCGATCAAAACTGGTGGAAACATTTAGGCAAATGATGTTGGAAAACGAAGTAAAATTGAAAGCAGAGGCGGAATTGACGAAGTATAAAAATCGTTATAAGAAATTATGCGAGTTATTAAAGGATGCTGAAGGTAAGTTCCATGTATTCTTTCTTATTCATGCGGCATCTTCTAATTTTTTGTTTGCTTTGGAGTGTCAGAGGCAAAAAAGCAGTAATAATTGTTGGAAGTGGTATGATAGAATTTTATAAAGCTCTGAAAAGCAATCGAAATTTCACCATGAATTATTTTTTTGTGACTGTTTTATAGATTTTCATATTGTTAACCAATTAAATTATAACGAATATTTTAACTAAACATTTACAATATTGCTTGTAGTGAATGAAAAAACACATATGGCCGCAGATCTTGAGAAAGCGAAATTGGTGGAGAGAGAATTAAGCTCTCAGATTGGTGAGCTACGTGGGCAATTGATGCAGGCTCGAAGCAAAATTAGAGAACTTGAAATGAAATATAAAGGAGTAGCCTCAAAACAGCAGCATTAGTTCATAGATTAAATTTCATGAGGTTAAGAGCAGAACTGATTACACATCCTGCAGCTTTTTATCCCTTTTCTATATTTCGGTCCAATTCAAACCCGGCAGTACATCCTCATTGATTTTCATATGTACTTTTTATCTTTTTAATCCTTAATTTGTTTCCTAAAATCATTTTTTTAAATTATGAAATTTTCGGATCCGTTAAGCAAAAATCTCCCAAAATCAGAAAAATAAAACCACTCAGACAAAAATATGAGTGTTCTGCGGGGCAGAAAAGGCATAGCTATTGTAACCAGTAATTGCAGAGCATATTTTTGACAAGATGTATTAGTATTAAGCGGTAAAGTATTAAGTGTCCCTCATTTACTCTATTTTCAAACAAGAATTAAAAAGCCAACCAGGAATCAAAAATTGTGCTGTTTATGATAATAGGGCTGCTATTTTTTTGTGATATTTATGATAGTAGGGGAGTATTGGTCGCTTTTACATTTTTCAATGTGAAGCATTTAAACATTTTAATGAAAATCATACTATTGCGATTTGTGCTTTGAATCTTTGTAGCAATTTGCATCAATCTTTCTGCTTTGTAGCAGAACTTGTTTCCACGTACTTCACAGAAATGTATAATTCATGTTTATTGCCCCTTAGAGGATTAAATTCTCTTGCAGTACTGAAGCAAAAAAGTAGCAGGCGGAAATCCACAATTCATCATCTCCGACAATGTATCAGTTGCATTGTACTTCTAAGCCAGCTATTCATCCAGAAATTATCAGTGATGTTGCTAAGCATTTTTTCTGAAAATCAAATCTTGGTTCAAAGGATCTGGACGCTATGAAGACTGACATAATAATTGGCAATCAAATCTAACAAATAAATGATTAATTTAAAAGTATAATTAAATCTATTGCTAGCACTAAGCTTGTCCTTTTTATACTGCTTTGTCAGACAGTTTCAGTAGTAATTCGAATTATAAAATCACCACAGTTCTGCCTCTAAATTGCTTCTGCAGACGTTATTTTCCGACTCAAAACAGTCCTTCTAGACCCAATTAACTATGGTTCAGAAATATATAAGCAATTGTAGTGATACAAATAACAATTTATTAAGTGCATCAAACAAGTTAATGCAGAATTAGAACTTTTTTATTTTTTAAAAATTTTCGTATTTTTTTCAATTTACATCATTCCAAATAAGGCATAATCATTGGAAGGTATAGGCTGTTTGGAATTTCTTTAGTTCCTTTATTCAAAATTTTCAATCCTCAACATTTTTAATAATGCAACATAATTTGTAAGATTTAATAAACTGAGATTAGATTAAATTAAGTAACAATAAAATAGCAGTGGTGATTAATTTAGTTATTTCATAGTGTAAAATAATAAAATACAAAACCACGTATCATATTAGTCGCAAGAAACATTAAAAATATCTCTGCTACACGACTATCAAGAAGTTTTATTTGTAGCAATTTCTGCACGATTGTGAAGCAATTCCGATTGCGGATACGTGAAAACCAATTTCGCGTAATTTGTTATGATCCAGAATGAGCCGACCATCAAACACTGATGCCGGTTGCGCCATTGAATTGAAAATATATTTGTAGTCATAACTCTAGAAATCTTACGCCTTAATATAACTTGACTTTGAAAAGCTGTTTCATATCTTTATATTAATTTAGGTTTCAATACCACAAACCTAAGTGTATTCAATATCACAAACCTAAGTGTATTTAATACCACAAACAATTTGAACTCAGTAAATCATATGGTATCTGAAATACCTGTACAGGAATTTTTCCCCTTCCAAAACCATACAAGTCAGTGACAGGAAACAAGTCTCGCTCAATAATGAAAGTCATCTATAATGTCAGGAGTCGTCTACTAGTGGCTAATAATAAAAAATAAGAGTGAATTAAAAATAGAGAAAACTATAAAATGGTGAGAAGATTTCTAATCATATTAGAAAAAACTCACTTTGAACTCGTCCCATTCAGTAAGCACAACTATAGCATGTGAATTCATCGCTGCTTCGTATGGATCTTTCGAGAATGTGAACAGTTTATCAACTGAAAAAAGTCACACTAAATTTCCTCAGTATTAGGTGTTTCTTATATAATTTGCTTGTCATTCTGAATACAAAAAAGGGATTCTTCAACGTGAGGCTCATAGTATATTATTTCTCCTATTTTTATTTTTGTCAAGAAGAAATCATGAAATTGAAGATTATTATGAATGAATAAAATGTAATACTCGTGGGCTAGTAATAAAATTACTTCCTTGCGTGAAATGAATTTAAAAATGAAGAAATAAACAGAAATAATAAAACCTAAACATGAGTGTATACCAGTTTCTTTGGAAGAAATCTGATTTAGTTCATAACGCATTTGTGATTCTGGTACTTTTGGATCGTATACAACCAGTTTGGCATCTTCATCAAGCAAATACTTCATTATATAAATCGCTGAGGATTCCCTAAGAAAATTAATGAAATTTGGATACAATAATAGAATTAACCCAATTATGTGAGTAAATGAAATAATGAAGTTTCATTTTCAAGTGCTAGAGGTTGTGCTTAGCGTCCTATTTTAAGTTCTCACTTAAAGAAACCTTCCAGTATACAAGAAAGTGCACCGAAACATAATGAAATATGAAATGAGGATTTACAGCTTGTAATGTAATACCTTCCTTCCAACTGTAAACGATGTTCACAGAATTTCATAGATCACTGATATTATTTCAAATATTTTAAATGTAATGAATGCAGAAACCTCGTATCAGCAGTATTTTTCTTGAAAGCAAAACCAAATATTGCGATTCTCTTACTCGATACCGTGTCAAACATTTCAGCAATGATTTTATCAGCAAAACGTCGCCTTTGCCAGTTATTGATTTCAACAACCTATGAAACGCACTTCTATTAGATTCAATTCTGCAGCTCACTATTTCAATCTTTTTTAAATATGCGTGAAAACTTAAAAATGGCTTAAAATCTAAATTTCAAAATTGAATTCGGAAACTTGATATTCTAATTAAGTTTCGAAGTCTAAATAATAGAAAGTCATATAACACCACATACTTTATGCTTCTATCTATTAGATATTCAGAAAAAGGGAATTTTTTTATTCGGCTTACTTGCAGCCAATAATCAGCTACTTTATGAAGATTCAAGGATCCAGCGAGATAAACAAGACTTAAAACATCTTTCTGAAAACAGCTACCTCCAAAGCCTGAAAAATTTATTTTTACATAAGTAGAAGAAGAAGCAATAATCCTTTTTTCAATTATCTCAGGATAGATATTTCAGTTAACTAACCAACGCTAGCTTGAAGAAATTGATTTCCAATACGAGTATCTCGACCAATTGCATAAGAAACTTCACGTATATCAGCGCCAGTCGCTTCACAGATGGCTGATATTGCATTTATACTTGAAATTCGTTGTGCGAGGAATGCATTTGCTGTCTGAAATAAGAAATGAGTGATGTCGAAGTGACTTCAATTCTTAGTTGTTGATTTAAGTACTACTTAAATGTTCTCCCGAAAAGAAAATATTTTTGAACAGCATACTGTTTTTCTCAATCAAAATCACTTCTGTGAAAATGAAAAACTTCGTGATTATGCATTAAAAACCTCGCAAAACAAGTATGCACTTTATTGTATTGAAAAATTAATTAACATTTGATCTTAAAAAAATGTGACACAAAGTGCTTGCCAATTTTGACAGTTCAGAAGACCAAGTATTAGTAGTAATAATTTTCTCTCGTGGCACCCAATGCTCGTAAATCTGTATCAGTTGAGCCATAGCTGCCAAACCATCAGGAGAACTCTCTCCGCCTATTAAAACACGATCTGGATTTGCCAGATCGTTTATTGCTGTCCCTTCTGATAGAAATTCTGGATTCGATAATACCTGAAATTTTAAGAGTGGAAGGAACAACCAAGTGCAGAAGAATATATCAATTTCTTCTATCGTGATAATGGAAAATTTTTGGCACAATGAAAATGTGATGAAAAGAACGCGGCATACCTTCAGTGACCAAGAGCAAAAATTTTCAGGGAAAATACTGAATATGCTAATTTGTTTCTCTTCCACTTCAGAGTATTTCAATAGAAGCAATTAAAAATTGTTGTTACTTGAAAAGAAAGCTGAGGATTTTTCTTTTGTGCTTCATTCAATATAGCACTGATGCTTTCAGCAGCTTTTACAGGCACTGTGCTTTTTTCAACAACAATTTTAGGACCACGAGAATGTTCTGCAATGGCACGTGAAACAGACTCCACGTATTTTAGGTCGGGTGCCATACCCTGAAATCGAAATCTTTTCAATTAACATGTCAAAAGCTATGGTATTTCATCTTAATTGCTTATCGATGCGCCTCTTTTAAATATACGAGACTTCCCTATTAATTACTTTATTTCTCTTTTTATTAATTACTTTCGTGTACTTTGCAATTATACACTATATCGTAACAAAATATGAAACTTTTGCAACTTATATAGTATTATTCTTTACTAAGACTATTGTCAATATTGGCAAGAATTTCTCAGATTGCTGAAAAAATGGGCATCAGACGAAAACTAAATTTTTGTATAAATTTGATGCTGACTTTTCCTCTTCCATATGTTTTTGTCGGTGTATTAACGGACATGAAAATAAGTTGTGCATTTCTTATTGCTGAAGGTATATCGTCGGAGAAAAAGAGATTCTTTCCGCGACATGATTTTACAATTTCATCAAGATCTGGCTATAAAGAAAGCTTGTAAATTGCATACTGAAAAAGTCTTAAAATGGAATTTTAATTCAGAAAGTCGAAAAGTTGAAAATGACTCAACAGAAAAGTGTTTTTGAAAACGATAAAATTACTGATTGAAAGGTTTCGGACCTCAAAAATAGGTAAATGATCCGAATTCCATTGCTTGATCTTTTCGGCATTCATATCCACAACAGTGACTTGTATTTCTGGACACTTATAAGCAATCATGGCACATGTTGGTCCACCAACATATCCGGCACCTACGCACGCTATATTTTCAACCTCAAGTATCATCATTTAATGAAAAAAATTTTGTGGATCAAAAATATTATTTAGTTACATTGTTTACATCCAAAGTTAAATGACATTACTGATAGCAAGAACAATTATCAATATTTCAGCTCTAATTTATAATAATATTAATATAATTAAAAACTGAGGCTAAAATGCATGCAACTGCAACATTACTATATTTTAAGTAATCTACATGTACATAAAAAAAGTGAATTAGAGAAACATAAAAAGTTGACAAACAAAGAAGAAAAGTAAACAAAGAAACAACTAACCTGTTGCATAAAAGCCATCTTTCAAATAAGATAATTATTGCACACCTGAACAATAATGCTACCTATAGCTGGGTAATAATGGTACTCCAACTCAGCACAGTACCAACAAAACATTTGCAACGATTTGTACTGCAGAAGGATTCCAATCAAACTTTACGATAATTTCAATTTTCCAAAAGAAGCCATTTAAGTAGCTTCTCTGAGTGGTCTACGTTATAGTCAATTCACTGACCACGACAAAAACTAAACAAATATCAAACTCTCCTTTAACTTTACATATACACTCACACGCTACTTCTGCTATTATTGGGCAGAAAAAATTCAATAGAAGAAAACATGGCTCGGACATTTGAATTTTTAAATTTAAATATAAACAAAAATGTGCAAACATTAAAGATAGGAGAATCTTCCAAGGAGGAATTTTTTTCTAACAATATTCTTATCAAACTTCCAATCAACCCAACTTCCTTGTCTTTCAGTGCTTCTCATCGTGTAATTCCTTCCGGAATTTCTCGTCTCTTTTAATACATTCAGAAGAATCGAATGGAAGGAAGTTTTGAATAAAATAGGGAATGAATCTGAATGAAATAATAGGAATATGAGGGAATCTAAAGGAAAAAAATGCGATACTGATACCGTAGCAATGAACTGTTAAAAAAAACTACAATAACAACCACAATAACAACCACAACAATCACAACAATAACAATAACAATAACAGCAACAACAACAACAACGCCAACAACAACGCCAACAACAACGCCA